CGGCCGGAATCCGATGAGATCGACAGAGATCGATCATTGGTATCGACCCTGAAGTCTCGACCGAGCGCGGGAATGGCCGACGCAACTCAGATCGAGGCAGAATTTCGGCCGACGCAACTCAGATTGAGGCGGAAATCCCCGATCTGGGACGAGGAGGCCCATCTGCGCCAACGACTGGCCCCGATCCAGATCGATACCTGGGCGGCGATGCTGGGGGCGGCGGGATACGTGAGAGCATGCCTGACCAGGCCATCGATCGGACTGGCACCGAAGATATCGAGCCGAAAACGGAAAATCAAACCCAGATCCAACTCGATCAAGGCCAGATCAAACTCGATCCCGATGTAAAGCCCCCGATCTGTCCTACTGAGGGCGTCGAACAACGAGATCCGCTGGCAGAAGGAGCCACGGCGACCACCCCACAGGACGCCGAGGACGAGGAGGAGATATACTACCATGACAGTGGCGATCTCTCAGCGGAAGATCTTGAAGGAAACCTGGCCGTCCTCCCCGAAATCCCGATCTCGATGCATTGAGGATCTGCAGGTGGGAGACTCCGGATCGGCCACACCCGAGGAGATCGAGAGGCTCCGGCAGATAATCTGGAAGAAGCGACATCTGCTGATCGGCAAAGGGAATGCCTTACCCCCGGCGGCCAAGGGCGTCGTGTGTGATATCGATGTTGGAAATGCGAAGCCGATCGCACTGCGAACCCGGAAAGTGCCCACGCGATTCCGTGAAAAAGTCGCAGGCTTGATCAAGGGCCTCCTGGCAGCCGAGATCATCCGACCCTCGACATCGCCATGGGCCTCACCGATCGTGATTGTCCGCAAGAGTAACGGCGTGGATATCAGGTTGTGCATTGACTACAAGTTGGTAAACAGCCTCACGAGATTGATGATCTACCCTATCCCCTGATCAGCGATTTGCTAGAAGATCTTGATAAAGCACTATGGTACTGCTCGTTAGACATGGTCAGCGGTTTCTGGGTCGTGCCCATGACGGATCGGGCTCGCGAAATCTCAGCGTTCATCACCCCGTTTGGATTATTCGAATGGAGCTACATGCCGTTCGGTTTAAAGAATGCCCCGCAGATTTATCAACGCCTCATAGACAACGCGCTGTACGGATTTCTGAAGATCTCCCCATCCGGCGACGCTGCCTCCACAACGGACGTGTTCCAGACAGGGATCGCGGACGATCCTGATCG